TGTCTAATCTAAACCTCTTCTGGTACAACTTGTGGCCATTTCCCCAGGTCCTGTTTGTTGCCTGGGAAAAGAGGCCAAACCCCCCTTCACCACAACCTCCCTTCAAGAAGTCGTAGAGTGCAATGAGGTCTCCCCTGAGCCTCCTCTTCTCCAAACTAAACAATCCCAGCTCCCTCAGCCACTCCTCATAAGATTTGTGCTTCAGACCCCTCATCAGTTTCACTGCCCTTCTCTGGACACACTCCAGGGCCTCTATGTCTTTCTTGTAGTGAGGGGCTTCTTGTAGTGAGGGTTATTTATGTGCCACAATATCACTAAGCCCAACAACCAGCTAACACTACCAAGTCCACCACTAAATCAAGTCATTAAGGTACATGTTCATGTGTCTCTTAAATGCCTCCAGAGATGGGGACTCCACCACCAACCTAGGCAGCCCATTCCAATGCTTGACCATCAGCCCTGTGAAGAATTTCTTCCTGATATCCAATCTAACCTTTCCATGGCACAACTTGAGGCAGTTTCCTTACATCCTTGATATTTTGCATCCTATTTTTCTGAAAACCCCATTTTTATCATCACCCTGCCACACACCTCTGCTCTGCTGAGCTGTTTCCACCCACCTGCCATGCTGGAATGCCAGCTGACTGAGTTCACGCAGCACAGGTGATCTTTTGTTATCTGGGCTTTGGGATTTTGGAGTCATCTTTAAACATGAAAACATAAAGAGAAGTGGAAGGACAGGATAATTAACCTTTTTCTGATTGTGAGCTGTTTTTTTCTAGACATCTCTCCAGACCTTCAGATGTAGCTAGAAAATGAGATGTAAATATCTCATTTTCAGTAATTCTTGAATAGTAAATTGGCAACTTTCTTGAATGGCCACATAAGATAAATGAATGTCGTTGTTTCCTTGTCAGAAGATGAGCATAATAAATGCACAGTACTGTGGAAATCATATGGTACCCATTTGGAATTTTTTTAGAGAAATATTTGACTAATCAAGCCAAGAAAATAGTATTTTACAAGAATTCATTACAGTAAAGATCATTTCCTTGAGGTAAATGCCTGCCTGTTAGGAGGAAAGCTGACTCATGGATATAGTGTGAAAACTTCAGAAGTAAGCTTTGCTTCCAGGCATACTGCAAGCTTAGAGTGATGAAGTCCAGCAGCCATAACACAGATAATTAATTTCTCCTCAGGTGCACAAAATACCTGTCTAAAAAGAAAAAGTGTCCAGTTTTAGTTACATAAAACAACGTACATATCTTGAAAATATGGAATGCATATACAGAACATTTGTAACACTAAGCAATACCGGATTCTTGTGTCTGTATGTCTATAGGCTGACTTGAGAACAATCAGGTTCTGGAACCACAGTGCTGTTGTGTGACATCCTGATGACTCAAAGACTGCCCTAGATTTAATTACACTCACACAGAAAGGGACAGCCCAGCCCATCTTCCTGCAGATGCCACACTGGGCAATTCCTCAGTGGCTGGTGTCTGTGGGATGCTGGTGACTTAGTCCAGAAGATGGTGAAAAGAAGTAGAATATAGAACTGAAATCTGTAAGGGCTGCACAAATGACATCAGGACAAGAGATGGCACCTAGTTTCAGAAATGCAGCAGGACATAACCTGAGCTGATAGCTGGCAGTCACTGGTGTTGGTTGAACCAAGGATCTTAAATGTCTTACTCCTCCTTTCTGTGCTATTTTGGCTCTCAGAGGGGAGAACTCTACTATGCATGAGGCTACTCGAGTCATTAACAGACTGTTGCTTCTATCAGGAATGCAATGGTGCTTAGGATACTCTGCATACCTGCAAATTAGGAGACCAATGGCCCTTTCCCACCTAACCATGGCCTTGAACTGCAAGGTAAGCAAGTAAACCTGAGCTTCTGTCTGCTTTTCTGTGTAAAGGGAACAGAAATTTGAGACTTGCAAAGAGGTTTACCTGGTGTACATCAGATGATGGACATCATCATCTAATACAGCAAGCTGAGATGCCACCTAAAAGCTGAAGACAGGTGGGACATCTTTTGCCTAAACCTCCCATTGCTCTGAACAAAACATGCAAAGAACATCTAAAAGCTGATATACAGCAAGCAAAGCCCATGGGGTATGAGTCCGTTAACTTGACCCTGTAATGTTGTGAGGGAAAAGTAATAATGGGTTCTACCATGTCTGCCTGCATTTTATGGGGAGAAGTATAAAATCAAATTATTTAAAATCTATTCTGAAAAATTATAATTGTAAAGACAGACCCTCCCCTTGTTCATCCCCTGCCCATTCTGCAGCTTTACTCCCAGTGCCATGGAACAGCCACAGAGAGCAGCAAATACAGAGCAGCTATTAGAAACACACTACTGCGTGTCATACACCAGGCAGCATGAAATCAGAACAGCTAGAGCACAGCACAAACTCTGTTAATAGGATTTATGTGAGACCATACTTGTACTAATGATTAATAGACACATAGGATTAAGAGATCACATTTTACTTCATTGCTAAGTTCCTGGTAACAGCTTGACAAATTAAATGAGACAAAAAAATTGCATTCTCAGTCTCACTCCTGCTAGGCTGAAGCACTGCAGGTGCTGAAAGAAAACAAAAAGTCATAAAGTTTCTCCCAGTGCCATTGCTGCAGACTTTGTGTGGCCAGCAGCAGCCTCTCCTGCAGCACTGCGCAGGTGGGCTCATGCCTAGGGTTGGTTTGATGTGGGGGGTTCTTCTGATTCCGAGAGCAGATTTCTGTTCCATGCTCTTCCCTGATACGATTCTAAATGCAAGGAACAGCTAATATTATCAACTGAATATTCTTGTTATATTGCTGTATTAAAACCACCACTATGTTTTCATGTCAGCCAGTGTGCAGGAAAGTGCATTTAGCTCTGATAGCTCATTGTGCTTTATGATCAGGGGCCCATTCACACAAGCAGAGTGTCTTGGGGTTTGCCCTCAGCTCAGGTTTGGAGCAAAAGTGAACAGCCACACGGCAACTGGTGAAAATGAAATCCATCACTTTACTTACTAAGGTTAATATATTTTTTTGTTTGTTTGTTTGTTTGTTTTCATTATTTACACATTTTTATTTTGAAGGATGTTTTTTTAATTCATCTTTCAAGCCTTAATATTTGACAATGAAAATTATCCAGCCTGTCATCTGAGTGATTTAATAAACCCATCAGAAACGGCCTCAGCCATTTGGATGTGAGCACAGCGGTCTTTGCACTTTCCTGCTTTCATTAGCTCAGGAACAGGAAGGCAATGTGCTCCTGTGAATCTTTTACAGGGCTCTGCAAAAGTGACCGTGGTTTGGTATAAGGGCTAGAGAACCTGCTTTACTTTACAGGCTCATTGCTCTCTAGCAGTAATAGTAGTAACAAAACAGAAAAATGAGCCCTGTGTTGTTCTCTTGCTTATAAATGCTTTGGAGGCTGTGTTAGATAAATCATGCCTGAAGATGTAGTTCCTATGAGTACAGACAGAACCTAAACCAAAGTGATGCAAAGGGATGTGAGCACTCAGACAGGGAAGACACTGTAAGAGTCTTCAGAATGTTTAAGTTAAAGCAAAGCTCAGCAAAACACACCAAAAACCTCCCAGGGATTCTGTGGCAGTGGGTGCTCTCTGGAAGTCACTTCAGAAAATGGCGGTGTGAGCTGAACACCTGAGGAGCTTCCAGAGCCACAGGGCTGATCAGCAACATCAGAGCCCTCTGTGCCCAAAGTCCATCCCCAGTTTGAGTGGGCCCTGTGGGGTGGGGCAGAAGCCGAGGCCTGCTGAGGGCCCTACAGCACACTCTGGGAGTGACGCCATTCCGCTCTGGAGAGCTTGTGCTCCTGCAGCTGTGCTCCAGCCGTGCGCAGCTTCTGTGCCACTCCATGAGGTGCTTGGAGCAAGGCGGCCATGCCTGCCGCTCTACTACAGAATGAGAGAAACGTTCATTTTGGGTGAAGTTCCCCCCTCACAGTACAATCCTGCAGCGCCTGAAGGGCCTGCGCCATCTGTATCACAGCGTCCAACCCCCGTGCCTCACTGGGATGGCTGACTGGCCCAAGCTGTATTCTGCTTTGCAGGAATCCCATCAGCAGTACTTCTCATTCCTGGCTGCCTCCCAGTGTGTGCATCCAGGGAGGAAGGGCATACATTTGCCTGGAGTCAAGCACTGATTATCGTGCCTTCAGTTCCCCATTTAACAGCAGCAAAAACTGTGCTGCAAAAGCCAGAAGTGAAATATAGGAGGGGCACGTGGGTGTGCAAGGAGTGCAAGACACAAGCATGATGGGGCGCTGGAGCATCTGAGGTCCTCAGTTCAAGAAGGACTCTAGAGAGAGCCCGGCAGAGAACTGCAAAGATGATGTGGGGCCTGGAGCATCTCCTGTATGAAGAAAGGCTGCGACATGGGGCTGCTCAGCCTGGAGAAGGGAGGGCTGAGAAGGGATCACATCAATCCTTGTAAGTGTCTGAAGGGCAAGAGTCAAATGGACAGAACAAAGGGCAACGGGCAGAAGCCACAAGATGGGAAGTTCCATACAAACATGAGGAAGATCTTAATTGCTGAGAGAGTAACAGAGCACCTGGTGTCCACAGAGGCTGTGGACTCTCTTTCTTTGGAGATACTCAAAGCCCACCTGGACGTTTTCCTGTGCAATTGCTGCAGGGAGCTGCTGTAGCAGGGGGTTTTGGCTGGGTGATCCCCAGTGGTCCTTCCCAACTACTACGATTCTGAGGTTCTGTGATGTATACAAAACGGGTATCTAAAGCGATCTGCAGAACCGGGCCAAGAGGACCGCTGCACCGTGCTCGCTCTGTAAGAACCGGCCTGCCCAGGGCGGAGCACGGGGACGCGGCAAGGTGCGGCGGGGGGAGCCTGGGGGGGGAAAAAGGAGGGGGAAAGAAGGGAAGGGCTGGGAGAGGGAAATGTGAGGGAGGGGAGGGGACAGCGGAGGGAGGGAGGGAGGCCGAGGGAGTCGATAAAGGCGGGAGGAGTGGGGAGAGCACGCCGGGCGGCGATGGGCGGAGGGAGTGAGCGAGAGGGAGACGGGGAGCGAAAGCAGCCCGTGCCGTGACTGTGCCCGCGTCCGTACTGTGCCCGGGGCCGTGCCTCGCCGCGGGGAGGGAGCGACGCGATGATGCCGGGGCGGCGGCTGTGAGCGGCGGCCGCGATGGGCTGCGGGGGCAGCCGGGCCGACGCCATCGAGCCTCGCTACTACGAGAGCTGGACGCGGGAGACCGAGTCCACCTGGCTGACCAACACCGACTCCGAGAGCCCGCCGGAGCCCGGCGGCGCCGAGCCCGGCAGCAGAGAGCCGGGCGCGGGGAGAGCCGGTGAGCGGGGCCGGGCGGGGGCTGCCCTGAGCCGGGATTCCGAGTGCGGGGCGTGGGGCTGGATGCGTCTCCGCTGTGGGGCTGGATGTGTCCCCGCCGTGGGACTGGCCGTGTCCCCGCCGTGGGGTTGGCTGTACTCCCTGTGTGCCCCGTGTGCCTGGTTACAAGGTGTGCATAGGGCTGTCTGTACGCCTAGGTTCGCAGCGTGTGTAGGGCTGGCTGTGTGCTTTACCCGCCGTCTCTTCTCTGCTCCCACCAAGGCGTGCAGGCAGCGAAGTGTGGGCTGGAGGACGCTGCGGGTTTGCGGCGCTGCGCACCGTAGCATCCCCTCTGGGGCTGCACGCAGGGACCGGGCAGCCGTGCTCGGCTGTGTGCGGGAAGAGCTTCTCCGTATCTGGGGTGCTCGGCTAGGGGAGGGAAGGGAAGAGAACTCAGTCTTTTTGCTGTGAAATATTTGGATTTTTTTTTTTTTTTGTAAAACAGCTCATTTAGGAAATAGGTTTAAAATGACGCAGAGGTGGTGATGCACCAGCCTTCTTTCGGGTGCCATCAGATCAGGGCGATAAGCAAAATAGAAAATTGATCAAGTGGTGTCCTGCCAATGTGCTGGCTGGCAAATTTGAGTTTCTCAGTTCTTGGAACGTTCTCAGTTGTGCACCTGTGGTATTACAGCAGGGACAGAGGCGGGAAAGGGAATGAGGAGCTCTGGTCTGATGTGGGGTTACTAATGTTTTCAGAATCGTTCAGTGTGCAGCAGTGTCTGGAAATCTCAATCTAGATGCAGAAATCTGTTGTGTTGGGTGCTGTACAAATGCAACATGACAAAGATTGCTGCCCAGGTTGATTGTAATTTGTGTACAGAGCAGCTTCAGGATGGGAGAAGGTAACTTTACAGACTTCTGTACTGAGCTGCAAGGCACCAGGAAGAGATCATGTGCATGGCTAAAGGCTCCCGTGGGTGGGCAGCACAGGCAGCTGGAGTGGGCAGAGGACCAAACGAAATATGGAGGGGATGGAGGGGGGTGGGAAGGGTATGCTGTGCTCCTGGAGACCAGAGGGAAACTTTACAGAAATCCCATGAGAAACTGAGAATTTGTAGGTGAGTTGGAATACGAAATGCTGTATGGAAAATAAAAATTAGATAAGGATTTTGAGGAGGTTTGAAGTGATATTGACTGGGAAACTTGGATGGAAGCAGTGGTGTTATCTCCATCAGTGAAGGCTGGACGTAGCAAGAGGTACCCCATGCTTACCGTTATTTTAGCCGTGTTTAATTGGTGTTAGTGGGCAAAGATCATAAAGACAAGGCAGATACAGCCTGAGCTTTGATATTGGATAGGAGGTGAAAAAGGGGTGGGTCAATAATCATTCTACACAGAAACAATTGAACTTACAAATGAGAATACTGGAGATAAGAGGAGGACAAGAGACAACTCCGAAGTGCAATAGTAAATGATTTGGAGATGAGAAATGCTCTACACAAAATCTCTTCTGCAAAAGAGATTAAAGAACAAGGAAAGGTCATACTGATAGGAACAAAGGAAGGATGGCTTCAGAAGGGAGAGTCACCCTGACCACAGCCGGGCTTGCTGCAGCCAGCACAGGGAGCCTGAGGATGCATGATGACCCCAAAGGGTGTCTGAAAAGTCCAAAAGTGCTTCAGAAAGGGCTGCTGCAGGGCAGTGGGTGAGTAGGAAAGGAAAGGAGTGAGGAGAGGTGATCCAGAAACTGCACACTGAGTGAATTTACAGATGAAAGGGAAAGGAAGCAGCAACTGGAGGGGCAAAAGAGGTCAAGTACAGGTTTGAGACTTCAGGAGGAAAACGCGGCATCATTGTGAGAGCTGGGAACTTCAGAATAGGGAGTGGCACAGGAGAATAAGGGATGGGAGAAGAGGACAACAGGGTATTGAGGAGAGGGATGTGCTGCTGGCACAGCTGGACACAGGAAACCTCTGTAACTGGATGAGGGGCAAAATATTCAGTGATGAAAGAAACACGGTATGCAGAATCAGTGAGCATAGCAATGAGGGCTGGGCTAATAACTGCCATGTGTTAATGTCAGTAATCTCATCCCACCCCAAAATTTCATTATATTCTTCTCCTCAGAAAACATATGTAGCATTCTGTGCCTCCTTTCGTTGGAACTACATGTATTTGTTCAGCCAGATGTTTGAATGTTTGAAGCATTGAGAGAGCTGAAGTTTCATTATGTTAAAAAGGAAGTCATACTTCAGGTTTTTTTTTCATTTTCCCTTCACTTTTCCTTTGTTCCTACTTCAATTGATCCTTTCTTAGGATGTTTACTCACTTTCCTACTTTTTTTTTTTTGTGTGTGTGTCTTAACATTTTTCTTTCTTTTTTTCTTTCTTGTGTGTGTGTGTGTGTGTGTGAGTGTGTGAGAAAACTTTTAGGATGATAGCAATTTTTATAACATAGCTAAAGTAGGACAGAACTTTTCCTGGGTTCAGGACCAGACATCAGCAGCCACAAAGTCGTGACAGCAGCGTGCTGCAGCACGGTGCTGAGCCCATGGCAGGGATGAGCAGGGTGAGCTGGTAAGGGTGAGTTGCAGCATGAAAGTAATAACCAACTTCATCAAGCACAGCAGGGGGTGAAATGGAAAGACGCCTTTTAAACCATCAAATTTTGTACTGTTCATAGAGCGAATGGCTTCCAGGAGGGAGAGAAAAAATGGAAACTGAAATGAGGCTGCAGAGGAGCAGCTTCTTGTACAGACACCCTTCAAAGTGCCAGCTGAGAACTCTTCATGAGAATTGACTGCTGTGTAGGGTATAGCTGGGGAAATAACAGGCTGCATTTCTGCCTGGCCCCCATTCCTTGGGCCCTGCAGCCTCTGCATAAACTGCCTTCTCTCACTTGGGCAGCCTGGTGCAGCCAAGTGGAGGCATCAGCACATGGAATGACTGCATGAGGAAGGGAGAACATGCAGGATCAGGTTGGTCCCGAGGGCAGACAGCACAGGTCACAAACAAACCACAGGGAAGGTTAAACTAAAAAAAAAAAAAAAACCAACACAAAAACTGTGAGGTGTTTCAGCACATTTGCATGTTCTGCTGTGTTACACTGGGAGAAGTCAGATCTGTGTATATACACAGGCTGAGAAGTTAAGATGCATTCTACCAACTTCCTACCAGTCGTGAACAAGTGTTATATAGTATAAAATACTGTAAGTATTTTATAACTACTGAAGTATAAAATAACAAACAAATTGCAATTTTTTCTCAAGAGGGCCTTAAGCTGTCCCATCCTATTACTGTTTCTTTGTGTTTTTTTTTTTCTTTTTTCCAGCGATTAAGCTTCTGCATTCAATTATTTTTTCTTCATGACTGCTGGAAGTGCCTCAGGTTGGATAAAGCAGCGTGTTGCCTTATGGGCAGAAAGAGCTCACAGCCATGGGTGAGCTCAAGTGCTGCTGTCTCCTTGGGATAGGCTCTGTCCTTGCTGTGTTCCTGCAGCAACAGCACCGTGAGCCCCAGCCTCGGCTGGAGATTGCTGCTGGAACACAAATACAAGTAATTAATTTTTTAATGACACAGCGACTAATGAAAACAAATGTCATGTGTAAGAACTGAGAAGCTGTGTATCGACTATCTCTGAACTCATTTGTTCAGTGCCTCAACTAATAAAACACTCATGTATTTTTTATCACTGCCTTGCTCACGGCACCAGCCGAGGCTTTAAAAGCAAAGACAATTGTTTCTTATTGTCTTTGTGCTGTTTCTATAGGAAACTCTTTTCTCCCGAAGCACTAAAGAAAAACATTCTCCACAGTTTATCCTTTCATAAAGACACTTGCAAAGCAGCAATGAGATGGGAGTGGGATGGAGTCCTTTATTTAAAAAAAAAAGAATACCATAAAAAAATCCATTCAAAGAATCATAGAATCACAAGTTTGGAAAGAACCTACAAGATCATCTAGTCCAACTGTCCTCCTATCACCATTACTACCCACTAAGCTACTAAACCATATCTCGTAGCAAAACCTCGTAGCAGAGAAATGCCATCAGTATCCCATGATCTGGCTGCTGACCGGCTCTAACACAGCCGTGCAGTTATGGATAACTCCAGTTCTTTTCTGTCAGGTGAAAGGTGCAGCTGGGTGCTCAGTGCCTGCTGCAGGGAGCTCGGCAGTGCAGGTCCATCTTTGCAGTTATCCCCTGGCTGAGGCACAGCGCACAGGATGCCACGCTCTACCGGCAGCCTCTCCTATAGAAGTTTTTGAAAATTGCATTTCCTTTCTTTGTAGTAGGAGAGACTGACTGCAGTTGTAGGGAAATTCTGGGGCTGGTTGAATGCCTGTCACCATGACAACACAGCCCAGATCAGTTTTGACCACAGCTGCAATTGTCTCCTGCTTCATCCACCAGGTAAACATGAAGTTAAATCTTAATGTAAATGAATAAGCGGCCGTCAGGTTATAGAGGAAGGACTTGCTTTGTGCAGCAGGTTGTTTCTTGTAATGCAGACTGCAGAGAAGTATTTCATAAAAACAATCCTATTTAGCTTTAGAGCCAGAGAGTAATCACCTTTGCGAGTGGTAGCAGTGTGTTGGGGTATATCACTATCCCTCCATGCTCCTATGCCTGTTATTGCTCCTTGCTTATGAGCTGGCTGGTTCAGAGTCTGATATGCCTGAGCAACAATTACAGCAGCTGTTCTGGCATGTAGTATTTTAAGGAGATAATCTTATTGCAGCTCGGAATTGCACAGAATGAACAGAGCTTCTTCCCGGACTGCAGACACATTACAGTAACTCCATATTCTGCCTTAATCCTGATCTCAGATACAGTCATTAGTATGATGGTATTAGTTAAAGTAACCCATTTACTTGTAATTTCTGGATATGGTCTCTTTCAGGTTCAGTTGTAACTGGACACTGGACGGAGGACAGTTAAAGAAACCCTTCAAAGTCACACACAAACACCAAAAAAAAAAACAAACAAACCCACAGAGAAGAAGGGAAAATACAGCATATGG